TTGCGGGTTCGGGCCCCGCATCGGGCTCTGAGCTGTCAGCACATGTAACCCCAAAGTTGTAACTGACTTCTCCAGGATTGGAATGGAAGACGGGGTGGTAACAAGTGTAAGAGCTGTGCTGACAGCTCAGAGCCTGGAGCCTGCCTGGGATTCTGTGTCTCCCTCTTTCTCTGCCCCTCCCCTGCTCGTGCTGTATCTCTCTCTTAAAAATGAATAAATACACATTGAAAAAAAAAAAAAAAGACTGGAAAGCCAGATACCAACTGACTTAGCTTTTTTCTTCCTTCATTTTATATTTCCTTCATTGTATATTTAAGAGCCAGAATTCTACGATGAGGTTCGGACTTCATTTTCCAATCTCATACTTTTCTGTGTGGGACTTTTACATAATGAACATGTATTAATTTGATAATCATGAAAAGCGAAACGAAGTTGGAAAGTTAGTTACAAAATCATAAAATTAGCGGACACACTTACTTTATTGTGTGCAATATGTGTTCATTGACTGCCTGTGTTGTCAGTAAGGCTTCTGGTCAATAGTAGGCTATTAATAGTTAGGTCTGGGGGGGTAGTCAGAGGTTGTTTGTAGATTTTCTTTTTTTTTTTTTTGGTTGTCTAGTTAGGTCTGGGGGGTAGTCAGAGGTTGTTTGTAGATTTTCTTTTTTTCTTTTTTCTTTTTTTTTTTTTTTGGTTGTCTGTAGATTTTCAACTGCGTGGGGGTCAGTGACCCCTATGTTGTTCAAGGACCATCTGTACAAAGAAAGGCTGTTTTGCCGGCAAAATGTGTTCTATCTTTCATCTTGTAAGAGCATCTTCCTTTTCACTTGGGACCCCACCCCTTCCCCATTCTGTCCATTCAAGCTTCCTCACCCCACCTTACCTTCCCTAGAATGGGTATATGACCCAAGCCTGGGTAATCAGACACATGGTGGTGATTTCAAGATGGTCACATGGCCCAGTGGGTGTCAGTACCTTAGTTTGAACTATTGGGAAAGAGGAATCTCTCTTTATTTAGGTTTTAAGCAAGTGGGGTGTGAGCGTGGAGATGTTGGTGATGATCTTGTGCTCATGAAGTGGTGAGTCTGTTGAGAGTGAAGCGCACCCGGTGGAATATGTTGCTGAGAGATAGAAAAAAATAAAACAAAACAGAATCAAGACTGAATCCTGGTGGCACCATTCAGATGCCTGGATCTAACTATGCCTGAAGCAGGATTTCTAGTTTCTTGGGTGAATAGATGTTTGAGTTGAGCTTCTGCCACATGTAACCCCAAAGTTGTAACTGACTTCTCCAGGATTGGAATGGAAGACAGGGTGGTAACAAGTGTAAGAGACCAAGGACAACACAGACAAGTGGCCCACCAGCCTATCGATCACTCTGTGAGGGATCCCAAGTTCGAGAAGATGGGCAGCTTCCGGCAAGAGTGAGGGAGGCGGGGCTAGCAGCTGGTGGGGTCCTTCCTGGCTAAGGAGATCACATCCACCTGGTTGCTGCTGGGCTGCTGGCCTGGGGTCCACCCTCCTGCCCACAACCCAGCTCCTCCTCCAGGGCACCAGGCTCTGTGTTTCTGACTCTTCTGCCCTGCTCTCCCAGCCAAGTCCTCTGCTGATGACCCTGAGCAGATTTGGTTGGAATATTCTGGAGAAAGGTAGCTGAACCCTACAGGGGTTTATTCTGGTGTCTGAAATCCCCACTATTAATTTTGGAACAAGGAGAGCCATCCAATTAGACGCTACTTCATGTTTCAGGAAACACACACCTAGCCATTCTTTGGCCTCCGTAAGCACATCCACAAGATGCTGTGTCCCCTTGAGAGATTGGCCTCATTTCCTCTGGTTCTTGACTTTCCCCAGAGGAGCCTCACAGATTTCTTCTGGGCGTTGATCGTTAGTCGGGACCCAGGCTGGAAACAGATGTGCACTCGGATGGGGTGTATTCATGGCCCCGGGCTGCTGTGATAAATTCCCACAAACCGGGGGGCTTCAAACAACAGAAGTGGATTGTCTCACGGTTCGGGGGGGTCAGAAATCTGCAATCAAGGGGTGACAGGGTCCTGCTCCAGGGGACAGCTCTTCCTTCCTGGCCTCCTCCGAGCTCCTGGTGGCTCCCAGCAGCCCCTGGGCCCTTGGCTTGCAGCCGTCGCGTGCTGGTCTCTGCTTTGGGCACTTTGTGGCGTGTTCTCTGTGCGTCTGTCTTCACGTGGCTCTCGTGTTAGAAGGACAACAATCACACTGAATTCGGGGGCCGACTCCTCCTGGGTGACCTCATGGTAACCAGTTACGTCTGCGGTGAGCCTACTTTCGAATAAGGACACATTTCTAAGGTACCAGGATGAGGGGTTACTAAGCGTACTAAGGGTCAGGATTTCAGCACATCTTTTTATGGGGAATCACACATCTCCCCATAACTTGGGTATCGAGGCGGGATTCACGAAGGGACGAGTTATAGAGGCTCAGAGAAGCGCCCAGATGTCGACAGGCCTCGCCGGGGCGCGTGTGGTCGCTTCTCTTCTGTTTCCTTACGCTTTCCGGCTTCTCTCAATTTATAACATTTTGTAGACACTTGGGGGAGGGAAGGGGAACCCCGAAGCCCCCCACCATCTCTCCTAGCATGCAGTGGTGAGGGCTGCTTCCAGTCTGCAGTGACACCCTGTGGTCTGGGACCGTCACTGGCCTCCGTGACTCTGTGACTCAGTCCAGTCCCCTAAGGTCCCCGGGCTGCCCTGGTTTTGCCCTGAGTGTGTCACAGAGCGTGGTCACGCTGAGTTTTCTCAACCCTGAGGTGGATTTGTCAGCCCTGCCGGTGAAGCAAGGTTAATGGGAAGCGCAAACAGGGCCACAGAGGGGGAAACGCTCATTGGAGACTGAACTGCATGGGGTTTTGTGGGGTTTTGTGGGGTTACCCCGTCCGGTGAGGGGAATCAGTAGAGAGAAGGTCGATGTAAAATAGGTTTGGAGCCACAGCGACACCTGGTGGCCATTCTACATATTGCATGATACTTCTGCCAACCCGAAACTTAAAAATGAACTCCCCACTCCTGTTTCAGCAAAAAGTTGTGGGTTTTCCTTTGCTAGGTGGTGAGATGCCCCATCGTGAGAGGGAAGCAGTGCCCAAGTGGACACAGGGACATCTGAAAGGCATCCGGGGCATCCAGCCAGAGGGATACCAAAGTACATGGACAAGAAATTCAACTTTGGGACACCCAGGGTGCTGGCATTCTGTCCTGCTAAGGCTGCGTCCTGCGTGGTCCCCGGCCTCCTCGCATGCAGGGCAGTCAGTGGGCAGGGGACACTGGCGCAGACCCACTGACACGGGAGATCTTTCTTCCTGCCCGCTTGATCCAAGTAGCTTCTTCTGGGGAGTTTCGGGGTCTGAAGTCGGACCACCCCCCACCTGCCAGAGCCCCTATTGGCTTGGTGCCACGTGGACACTCATTCCCTGTCCATCCCGTCCCCACCTGCCCACGCACCAAAAGGCGGCCCCTCTGCCCCATTCCAGAGACTCCCCTGAGAGGAGGCAGAGCCCCTAAAAGGAGCAGGTCAGGAACACACACGGCCCGGGTCTGGGTTGTAGCCGAGCTTGGCCTGGAGCCCAGCCCGGTCACATCCCAGGACTGGCCGCCTGTGGCCCCGTCTCCAGCCCTTCCTGTCCCGAAGCTGCGTCTCTGCCTCTGACCACCAGTCAGGTTTGGGGGGTTTCCCGCTGCCCTCGTGCCCCACCAGCCCCCACTGGTTCTGGTCTGAGCATCACCATAGCATCTGCTTCCTCATCAATAGTAATACCCGCCCCCCCCCCGCCGCCCCCCAAAGACAGAAGGCTATCTTGCTCACTCTCAGCCTGCCCTGCTACCCGCTTACCTGACCCTCCTAAAATCTGGCATCACATCCTGACCACCAGCCTCATCCTGGGGAGGACCGGGTTCCCTGGTGATCACATGACACTGGCCATTTTGCTTTTTAGATTATGATTTATACATGCGCATATGTGTACAGTACATATGTCGATTTTGTAAGTGGCTTGGATTCAGGTTGGAAATTTGACCGCTTTGCACTTATAAATCTTAGAAAAGTTCAAATTGGTAGTTATAATATTAGTGCAAAAAACTGTACCCTACACTTTCCAAGATCCCAAGAATCATTAACTGTGGGGTGCAAGAAAGACTAAAATCAGAGGGATGCCCACCAATAACAAGAGTGGCAGCTTTAAGTGAATTTTGCTTTGAGAATGCACGAAAAGGGTCAATAGCTCCCAGGGCACCTTAGAGTCAACTGAGTAATGTTTTCAAAACAGCTGGGGGCTCAGTCGGTTAGGCGTCTGATTTCAGCTCAGGTCACGATCTCCAGTTGGCGAGTTCGAGCCCCGCGTTGGGCTCTGTGCCAACAGCTCAGAGCCTGGAGCCTGCTTCCAATTCTGTGTCTCCCTCTCTCTCTCTTTGTCCCACTCACACTCTGTCTCTCTCTCAAAAATAAATAAACATTAAAAAAATTAAAAAAAAAAAAAAAGCTGAGCTGGGGAGCTCCTTGGACCAATTAATTCTAGGGAGGAGGCTGACTCTGAGGTACTGGAAGCCTGAGAGCCACTAGCCACATGTGGCTCCTGAAATGCACATTAATTCAAATGAGATAAAATTCAGAACTCAGACTCTCCATTGCACAGGCCGTATTTCTAGGGCTCAACGGCCGCAGGTGGCTAGTGGCTGCCACATTGGACAATGCAGATTATAGACCATGTCCACCAGCACAAAAATTTCCACGTGGCTGCCCTAGAGGGTTGCCAAGTCCTGCTTCTGATTCTGGAGGCTGACACGGGCGGGTCAGTCGTGCATAAAATGCAGGTGGTTTTCTAAGTTCCTGAACAGGTAGATTGCCATTGTGTGTGTGTGTGTGTGTGTGTGTGTGTGTGTGTGTGTGTGTCTTGGGGGGAGGTCAGACCCATTATGGCTCCTGTTTTTCTACTCACTGTCACCCCACAGAGAAGCTTCTGGAAGTGTGTCCTGGGAATGTTGAGCGGGAGACACCTGTAAGTGGCTGGGCTGGTGTCCAAGCCATCCTCACTGGGATTAAGAACATCTCCCATAGGTGGGTGCGGGTTGGGGGGATACGGCTGGTGATGGGCGCCAGTTGAGAAGACAGAAGACCAGCACCCACCAAGAAAGCCTTTATTCCCGTCGAGGGAACCCACATGGCCTCTGCGGTTAGCCCTCCTCTGGGACGTTGAGTTTCTCCTTCACCCCACAGGCCACCACGGCGAAAAAGAACTCAGGGAAGAAGGTGCGGACGTACACGGCAGCCTTGGGGATGGGGTTGGCCATGAAGACCTCTTGTTTCTTCCGTCTCACGGTGCGCATCACCTCCTCGGCCACGTCCACGGGGTGCACCCCGTAGGTGAGCTTCCTGAAAAAGACTGAAAAGCCCCCAGTAGGGGCGGGGGTTATAAACCCTGGTGCCCGAGGATAGGGAAGCATGGGCTGGACCTGGAGTCGTGGGCTCCCCGACCAGCTCTGCCCTCCGCCGGCCATGAGGCCCTGGGGGGCAGACTCTAGACCCCACTGAGCCTCAGCCTCTTCATCCATAAAGTGGGCATAGTTTCCTGCCTAATAACTTTGCAGGGTGGTTATGAACCATTGCAGGGATGAGAAAGAGCTTAATTAAGAAAGAAGGCGCCAGGAAGGCCCAGGTAGCTCAGTCGGTTAAGCGTCCGACTTCAGTTCAGGTCATGATCTCACGGCTTGTGAGTTCAAGCCCCATGCCGGGCTCTGTGCTGACAGCTCAGAGCCTGGAGCCTGCTTCAGATTCTGTGTCTCCCTCTCTCTCTGCACTTCCCCTGCTCGTGCTCTGTCTCTCTCTGTCTCTAAATAAATAAACATTGGAAAAAAAAGAAAGTGGCAGATGAACTAGGTGCTGTTGATACAACTGTTGCAAAGCCAAGTTCATCGGGTGCCCACGTCTCAGTTCATCTCTATTCTCTGACGTAGATGGAGCCTTGCACAGGGCTCTGCAGCCCTCTGTTTAGAGTATTCTAGAATAGCAGTGCTAATACAGTGCGTTCACAGAGCTGATTGCTGTTGTGAGCCCCTTACGGGCCTTCCGTCTTCCCAGGGCCCCCGTGAGGGAGCTGTTAGACAGTCCTCAACTTCTTAAAGGGGAAACTGAGGCACAGAGATCAAGGAAACAGCCCGTGTTCGAACACTGAATGTGCACCTGACAGAAGCTTCAAGCGTAGGCCATCTGGTGCCAGGCTCTTAGCCTCTACCCTGTGCCGCCTCCCAGGGAAAGGAGGAGAGGGTAGGTAGCAGGCTCTTAGAGGCCAAATCTGGCTCTTCCACAAGGGAAACTGAGGCCCAGAGACAGGCAGTCACGTGGCCAAGGTCACAGAGCCTGTGAGTGCCGGGTCTTCGTCTGCTGGTTGTGGGTTACGATTCTTTCCACCTGGTGCCTCAGGACTGAAATTTGGGGCCCCCGTCCCTGCTGCTAGCTGCGTGCGGGGCCCCACCTCCTCTAGTTTCAGGGTTCAGGAACACCCACCTCCCCCCAGGCCCAGTGAAATCAGGCTGCCCCAGAGGCCACCCCCCAGGAGCCTTCCCAGAGCCCCCCCCCACGGAGCCCTCCCAGAGCCCCCCCAGAACCCCCCAGAGCCCCCCAGAACCTCCCCAGAGCCCCCCGAACCCCTCCCCAGAACCTCCCAGAACCCCCCAGAGCCCTCCCAGAGCCCCCCCAGAATCCCCCCAGGAGCCCTCCCAGAGCCTCCCAGAG